ATTTAAATCTGACCATCCAATAGTTTTTGGGGAGGAAACACATCCAGACCGTGCGTGCGTGCATGAGTGAATTTGATCCGTTCAATCGAGGGCACAATTTTTATTTTTCTTTAATCTCTATTTTTTCTAATTCAACCATAAACACATAAAACAAACAATACATGGATTCAAAACTATAAAATCGATCAATCAGATACTATCATGCATTCAAATCATAAAAGCAATCAACAGAAATAACAGTAGATAATTTTTAATTCTGTCTCCATTAGTAACTCGTAATTAATTATAGATATTTTCTAAATTGTATAAAACACCGTATTATTGTTAATTTGACTTCAATTCTATAACAGAGAACAGAGTGATAGATTTTTACTCAAATTGATGCCCGAAAAACTAAACTTGTTGACTGCACCTACTGACAATCTCCGGATTCCCTGAATTTTTTTTTTCGGAGATTAAAACCCTCATACCCCGTCCGATATAATCACCTCTGCTGAAAAATACGCAAAAAGGGAATCGAAAAGGGCCTCATCAAAGGCGGTTTTTGCAATTTTTAGCAGGGGCGCCGCCAGACTTTGCCCGCAGTTTTTGGCCAATCCGCCAGTCCTTTTACTCTGATTTGATCGTGGAGGTGTTTAAAATTGAATTTTGAGCAAAGAAAATTTTTTTTTACCTCTTTTGGTGATTGGAAGTGGCTTCGGCGTAGTGGCTGGCAGTGACAATTTTCTTTGCAGCGGCTGGGTCTTTTTCTCCGGCCGGGGGGAAGGAGGGAGGGGGTCTGGCGGCTAGGGTTAGGGTTTGGTGTGAAGAAAATTATTTATATATGACTCCATTTAATCTGAACCATCAATTGTATTTAATATAGACCGTCCGATTGCGATTAAATAAGGAGTAAATCTGGACCGTTCATCGCGATCTAATCTGTACTGTCCGATCGCGTTTAAATAAAAAATAGATATGGACCATTGATCACATTTAAATCTGACCATCCAATAGTTTTTGGGGAGGAAACACATCCAGACCGTGCGTGCGTGCATGAGTGAATTTGATCCGTTCAATCGAGGGCACGCGGATCGCTCGCGTGGCCTCTCTGGTGGCACCGTGTTAGCATCTATTGCCATGCGGCACGTTCTGGTTCGTCAGAGCTGCTAACTGGGCATCTTATATGGCATAACTTTTCTAAATTGTATTTTGATCATCTGTTTCTGATTTTTCTTTCAAAAATATCATAAGAATCCAAATTTTTACATTTTTTTTCAAAATTAATTTCAATTTCATCATCTATCAAATTTTCTTCATTTTTACATTAAATTAAAATTGAAAAAATTAAAAAATTATATTTACAAATTAATTTAGATTACATAAAAATTAATTTGGATATTACACTTTATTTCCATCTCTATTGTGTAATTTTTTTAAACTTTAGCTAAGGTTCTCTCATTCTTTCTCTCTAAACCTAAATGAACAAAACTTCGATTTCGACAGAGCACTCGAAATCTCAATAATCCATAACATGTCATCCAACATTCATCATCTCTCCTCCACGCATTTACCAACAGCAATATCACACCCCAAATACAATTTACCCTAATCAGATACCACCCAACTCACACAGTGTGTTCTTTGTAACCTCAACAACAATGTGCTTTGATGCTCTGTATGTGACCACCATAACTTTTGCTATACTCTCCATTGATTATGCAATTGTAGCCTCTAGGAATCATGATTCTAGTGGTGTGCTTGATTCCCAAAAGTCATGCCATTCACATTCATTTGCATCATGCAATTGAACTCGTTGTTGAAGTTGAGAATGCTCTTGTGGTGCTTTGATTATTTTTCGAGTGCTCCTATGTTTTAGATTATTGAGTTAGACAGAAATAGAGAATGGGGAAAATATGGGAGGAAGAAACAGAAGAAGCATTAATGATAGAGATTTTTGCTTTTCTCTAATTTGGACCGATATAAACCAATCTAAATTAATATAATTCAGCTACCATATCAAACGCTATGTGAGATCTGATGTAGTTAATAGTCTATTAAAAGATGTTACATTTATTTACACATGACATAAATTTAAGTAAATAGTATTAAGAAGGTATTAAATTGAAGATTTTTTAAAAATAAAAGTGTTAATTTAACAAAAAAAAAAAGATAATGGCTACTAATAATTCAAAAGTCATCATATTATTTTAACCTATAAATTATTCAATGAAAATCATGTATATGTAAATTCTACCCACTGCAATTTTTTTAGATAAAATAGTTTAGAAATCAAATTCAACTAATTAAACATTAAATACTAATTGATTTATAAATCATAAAATTTGTGGAGACTAATTCCCGAATAGTAATTAGATTGACATTTAAGTTTAATTACTGGGATTCAATTATTACATATAATATATTACAAGTTAAATTTTAAATATTTTAAACCGATATAGAATAATGCTTTCTTAAAATTATTAAATTTTTTTAATGAAAAAATTAATCTAAAAATACATCACCATAAAATTTTTTAAAAAATAACTGCAAAATTAATTATAAATTTCATCACCAGTCAAGTAAAAGAGAAATTTTTTTTAAAAAAAATAATAATTAAAAAAAAAAGAGTTCATGAAAAATAGCCAATTGGGCCATTCAACACGGCCCAGGAAATATAGGGTACCCTATAAACTGTCCTAACAAGGTTGCTAAACCCAAACATTCAAAAGCTCATTCTGCATTTTCATGTTCTTAGATCTTCAGATTTAACAATTTATACTTTTTTAACTACAAGAAAATAGTATATTAAGAAAAGGGTTGGAGAAAAATATGCCCATCAGTATAATCGGCCTAAAAAGGAAGTACACAGGCCAACACAGGCTTACACATGTTTATATAAGACTATTTTAATGAATAGACTGGAATCAGTCTGAATCAAAGATAATTTTAGCTTGGGAAAACGTAAAACTTTAGAACTATGAAACATGTTGCTATAGAATCAAGGTACTTGCATCTAAATCAAGGAAGATAGAATCCATAAAAATCTCTTCACCCCATGTTCTGCGCCGAGCATTAGTTGCATATCACTGGAAAGGTTGTTTCACAAATTTGGAGCTGTTACATATATATATATATATACACACACACACACTCAGACAATGCAGCATAGCAATTCAATGCATTACCCAGTGGAAGGTGTCAACTTTCTTTTCTTTCTTTCTTTCTTTTCATCACAACAGTGATTGAGTGAGAAGTAACAATGGGACCTGTCTCAAGTCTTGCCACAAAAGGATAATACAAAAGTACATCATGCTGACCAGATGTCCAAATTCTCTGCGCCACCAACCATCGGTTCATCACCTTCCCCCACTTCCCATCTCTCTATGTAAATGTGTATGTGATATTGTAACAGATGGGTAATTTGCACAAATCTCCATCATTGAACGAGAGAGAACTGAGTACGAGTAAACTCGGTACATGACCTGTCTCCCTCCTGATACGTAAATATGTGGGTGTGTGAGATCTTGTAACCCATAGGTAATTTGCATAGAACCCATGATTGAATGAGAAAGAACCGAGTAGATATACTAGTAATCTCGAAGAATTGTTAATAATACAAACAATAAAGATGTAAAAGAACAAGAAAAGAATAGTCCCAATTGCATGGTGCAGGTCAAGATCAGACGAAAGAAACGAAAATGGGTTGATTTCGTTGTACACATTGAATTGGTAAAAGGTAAAAGGTCGAGCACTACAGTCTCTATAAATGTGGGGTCACCATCAAAACTCCCACTAAACTTAAAAAAGGAAAAATGATGGTCTTCGAGATCCAAAGGAACAAATTTGGTGGTAGAAAGGACCATGGAGGAGGAAAACAATTTCCTTCACTATTACAATCTCACCAATTTTCCATTGCAAGCTCCAAGGTGCTTTTACTAGTTTTTCTCTCCCCGTACAAGTATTCTTATCCAATAACTACAATCCCCATATAAACTCAATATACAACACGTTTTACAAAAACTTCCTGCACGGGGTTTATTGGAGAAGAGGCATTGGCCATTGGGCAGAGGACGTAGAATCCTACTGGAGCATTCAAGCCTTGCTAATACCCATATTATATGCTTTTCCTTAAGAGTATTTTGAATCAATTGCTGGAGTTGAACTGCTTGAATATGTACAGGAGGAGCAAATCATACCTCAAACTCCCACTTCATATGGTCTTTAGGTGTAGGAGAATTCACCATCTTGAATCCAGGAGGCCTTGCTTCCCTTCCCACACATATCAGAGGGAACTTGAATTACACCCATATAAAATTTCCCCCTCATTGAATTGTCCTTGTGAGCTTACATTTAGAAATGAAAATTGTATCTGTATAATTTAGACTACAAAGTTTCAGTAGCTCTGCTGCTCGTTGCTTCACCACTGGATTGCAACCACTTTGGATCACAAGAAGTAGCTTCGCTGCTAGACCCGCTTCCACTGCAATAGATGAGCATTCCTCAGGAGCAAGTCTACATACAGACCACAAAATTGACAATGCATATTGAGTACAATTCTCTGAAACTCTCATCAGTAGCCTGACCATATTCGGTATTGAGTTCCCACAATCCTTCAGTGCCATTTTCCCCTCTTGTAGATCAGACAGAGTATCCAGGATGAACAGAGCCAATTCCAAACAATCAGGATCTAAAGAGGGTAACAATTCAACTAATTGACCAACAGCCCCAATGCTAACAATCAAGGTCCTAACTTGTTTATGCAGACATATTGCTCTAAGCAGGTTAAGTCCAGGCAAGATCCCACTAGTATGCCTCTTATCCTTCACCAGCCTCATCAATCCAACTAACAAACTATGACTAGAGACAATTTCAGGTCGAAAATCCTTCTCCTCCATCAACGTCTCAATCAATAATGTACAATTAATCTTCGTCTCGACAGAACCTTCATTCAGCATATCCACCATTAACGAAATCTTGGCTGGCTGCATCAAATTGGTTTTAGATTCTGAATCAAGGTCCAAATTTACAAGAATCCCAATTGCCTCCGAACCGACTGCATGAGAGGTAAATGGACCTAACAATGACGAGATTACAGCAAGACCACCTTCATCAATTACAGCCTTCCTAGCAGTGCCATGTCCCACCACAACTTGTTGCAGCTCCTTCAAGGCTTGAACTCTAGCCTGACCCTTAACTTTCTTCAATGTTTCAAGAAGCTCACTAGCCCTTCCCTGAACATCTTCTGACCTCTTCTTCATGAGCAAGTATTTCTGAGAAAACCAAGTGTAAATCAAATGGTAAAGAGTCCTATTAGGGGTAATGGAATCATCCCAAAGCTCTTGCATAGTCGTGGGGCAAGTGTAGTGCCCCAAATTGAACCATTTAAGAATGTTGGACCGCTCGTAGGTTTGGCCGGTGCAAAGGGTAACAGGGTCCTGCATTGGCTCAAGCGAGATTGGACAGATGAAGACGGAAGGGATATCTGGTATATCAAGTTCCTCAATCATCTTCTTCAGATCCAATTTCTCACCAAAGCCGGCGCCAACAACGCCACTGCCCACGGCACCCAAAACTCCATCTTTCACGGCTGTGTCCAGATCTAGGACTTGCCCATCACCACCGGCTTCATACCCAACAACCCTATCCCTCTTTGAGGGCTGAAACATAGGCATTTTCACAAACACTTGGAGGACAATCCAACAAACGACACAACACGATATTAAAATAAAAGAAAAAAGGACACAGAAAAATCCCCTCTGCTTCTCTACGTAGACAAACAGAAATGGAGACACATTACGGTTGCCAGCACACGAGAGGTGCGAAAAGGGAGAAGAAAAGAACGAAAGCTTCTTTGTCTACTCAGGTTCTCTGTCATTGACTATCACAACTCACAAGCAAGAATCACCACCACTTACTTTATCCCACAAGTAAACAAACACATATATCCTCCTCCTGTTCTTTTTCCTCTTTTCCGATCTCTTTCCATGGTAAAAAAAAAAAAACTCATTAACCTCCTAATAATAACTCACATCATAAACACATAATCAAGCTCCCTACCCATCTTCTCACTTCTCACTCAAGCTGCTAAAAGGGTTGAATCATCAACCCGACAACAAAACAGTGAAGATGCCAAAGCGAAAACAGCAGCGGAAAACAGAGCAGGAGATTAGCTCGACCACTCAAAAGATCAACAGTGAATAAATACAGTACGAGCAAATCAATTAGCTTTTTGAAAACTCATGAGTGGGTACACAGAATTTGAGAAAAAATATTAAAGACCCAGATGACGAAACTATGAAATTATGAGGATTGAATAGAGATTAAACATGGAATAATAGAGGCCATACCACCGTAGAGAGAGAAAGAGAGAGCAGAGAAAAGCCATGTCCTGCAAAGGCTTCCCTACTGCTGCTGCTTTCTTTTGGGGAAGTAGCTGTTTGTTAATAAAAAATAAAATAAATAAATAAAACTCTTCACGGAAAATAATAAAAAGTAATATACCATTTTAAAAATAATTCACTTTTTTTTATAAACAAGAAAGTCTTTTTTTAATTTCTATTAATTAGTAAATTTTCAGCCTTCAAGTTGAAATTTCGGGTCGTAGCAGGTAATTGAGCCTTCTGACCCGCCTATCACACGTGCACACACCACCCTATCCATTAATTCATTTGAATTTAAAGAAGAATAAAATTAAGTGAAGTGAACTATGTAGTAAAAGCTATATACTCATATAATTTTAGCAGTAAAAACAAAAATTCAAATGGGCTTTTTTGCCCATATGCTAAAGAAAAGTGAGATGTTAAAAAAAAAAAAAAAAAAAAAATTTACCAGGGACAAATTAGTCATTTGACCCAAAAGAGAAGTGCCCGCACGAACAAAATACAAGGTCTCAATTTCAATCAAGCAAGTCAGATCCCACGAAATTGCTATAAATCCACTCCCCGCATCTCCATTTTTTATTGTAAGAAAAATATTATTAGTATTTAAAGAGTCTAAATTAAAATTTAAATTAAAAACAAAAGAGATACAGAGGGGAAACGCAGGGGTCCACCTTGGGGCTCGTTTATTATTATAAAAAGTGCCAGCTAAGCGTTTGACCGTGACAGTTTTCTTTTGCTTTGACTGTACGCTAGGCTCGTGTTTTGGCTTTGCCTTTGGCCCTATCCGGTCTTTGCTTTGACCCGCCCATTACTTTGCTCCGCTACTTCGCGGTCCCATACGTCTTTCCCCGTAACCAATGAAAAACCGCCACGTCACCGATATTACATTATTCTCCGACTGGGCCGCACTGTCCAAATAATTTTAAAATTTAAATTAATTATCAATAAAACATCAGAAGATAATATCTGAATTATGTGGTTTTAAAATAAAATTTTTTATTTTTTAAATTTGTGCGATGGGTAACAAAACAGTGCAGAACTGCAAAGTGTTTGGTGTGTGGTGTTGAATTGGGTGTGGGGGGTTTGGTGATGAAAAATCTCGATGGAGATGCAATTGATTGATGCTAATCACTTTTTATTTTAATTAATTAAGAAATTAAGTTTGAATCAGAATAATTAAGATCTTGAGTAGGTTACAGACTGGATCGAACAGGTTTCTGATTATTGGGTTTTTCTTTACACTCTTTTATATAATTAATAATTAATAATTAAACAAATAGTTATTATAGTCTAAAAGAAAATTTGATTTCTACGTACAAAACCATCGTAAAAAATGAATTTTGTGGAACTAAAATTTTCAAAATAAATTCTTAAAAGAATAATTAGTATGTTCCAAACATGCCCTTAACCTAGTTAGACCGAAGGGTACAAACTCCAAGAAGGTGATTGAATCTAGATTTTGGTGTGAGCATATGACATGCATCATATTATATGGGGTTGTCCCTGTCACGTGAGCATTATAATTAAGCAAAAAATTGTTAAATAATTGAAGAAATTAAATTAATTATCGAAGTTTAGACTTAAAATCTTGGAACTAAAACAATGCTTATAATGATGTGAATTTTAAATTCGTTGCTCCAAATTCAAATGGGGGGAATGTGGTGTTATTTTCTGGGATCTAAAGATGCTGGGTGGCATTTGTTAAGTCACTGTTGGTGTTGTTTCTCGTTATTCATGCTGATTGCGATCGAAGAACCAAATCTTGGTTGACCACCATCAGCTTTTCTCCATAACAACAACTTACCATTTTATTCCATTACCCTTTTCAAGCTCCCCCCCCCCCCCCACACACACATATATATATATGTTTGTATATTCTTCTGTTGTTTTATTGCTATGATAATAAGAATTAGCCCACAGCTTTTTTTGGGCCTCAGGATTCTTCACATTTGATTTGAACTAAGGAACTTTTAATGCAAAATTTTGAATGATTCCTACTGTTGAATTGGGTAGGGTTGACTGTTATCATATTTAGTTATGTACGTAAGATTAAAAGTTTCATACAAAGAAGTGTTGGTGTTCGATTAATGTAATCCGTAATTAATTAATTTAATTAATCAGGAGTCCTTTCAACGTGAATTGGAAGATATCATATGCTGCTGATTTAGAGAGAGAAAATTTATTACTTGAGTGTAAATTTGAGCAAATTATTTGATGATTTCATTGAATATTTCAAATAAAAATAACTAATAATATGTGTTAATATCATAACATTTATATGTACGTACACATATGCTAATTTACACACACACACACAAAGGTATATATATTCATTTACAAAGCAACTTTAGTAGAGAATATATATTGTATTTTTATTTTTTATCATCGAAATATATAACTCGCTACATCATTGACTTGGTTACTATCAATTCAATCGTGCCTAAAATCTGGATAATTTTAATTATACAACTCAATATATATTACGCATATAATTGATTGGGATAGGAACAACTCATCAACAAGGGTCGTATTCAAGTTTTTTTAAAAAAAAATTACTTAAAAATATTCTTATTACTAATAAAAATAATATTAATTTGACAAAGTCGACACCACTTTTACGGTTGTACGAAATTTTTTTATGATGATATTTTGTTCGTTGATTTAGTTATTTTATTTGTATTTTTTTAAAAAAATTTATAAATTCGAATCAAATTGTATGTTTTTATTAATAAATGTTATTATCATTGTTTATAAAGAGATAAGAAAATTCACTAGTTGACTGTAGAGGGATTTATTTGAAAATGAAAAAAAAAAAAATCAAGACTTAATTGAATGAGAAAAGTAAGCAGGGGCTATTTTAATAATTTCAGATTTTACGAGGGGCCAAATAGAAAAATTAAATTTCCATTTGCCGGCCGTGGCCGAGTTATTTTACTGCTCCATGTCCATTATGTAAAACCCATATACAAATCTACAGTATTTTTTTTTTGGGATAAATTTTTGTTGAAATTATTATTTTTTAAAAATTGCAAACTATTTACATCGAAAGTAAAAAGAAAATTATCAAAATTAAGAAGAAAAACCAAATTTAAGCTTAATTCATAAATTAAATTTTATTTATTTATAATTTTATGCTAATTGAGTGGCAAACTGTTTAATTATCTTTCATAATTGCTAATTATTGATTTGATTGTTAGTTTAATTTACCCATTTAGTTTAAGGATAGGTTATTAAATATTTATTTAATCGAGAAAAAAGTTTAACATAAAAAAAATATATTTATAATGATTCAAACATGAATTACTATTATCTAACTGATCAATCCAACGACTATTTCAGTCCATTTAATTATTTTTTGTTTCTATTTTGAATATATATATATATATATATATATATATGTATGTGTATATGTATATATTTGTTTTCTGAATTTTGTTTTTTTCGTCATTCTTCATACTAATCTATTAGTACGTTGTTTTATTAATTTAACTATATATTTTACTTTGACAATTTCCAAACAATATTCAAATCTAATTTTGTTTTGGATGTTACCCCAAATTATGATTCCCTCAGTGCTCAAAGACCTTTCAATATATATATATGTATGTATGTATGTATGCACGTATATATTATAAACAAATCTTCTCTAATTATATATTAATTAATTAAAAAAATTAGGAAATACCCATAATTGTTAAAGTTATTCCCTTTATAAACCCACCATCTTCATCAAAAACCATAAAAATCTTTGTATCAGATAGAAACCCCCACCATATATAGACACCCACACCACACAGAGAATATCACAGAGAAAAAAAGAAGATCACTGAGAAGCTGATTTAGTACAGTAGAGTTATAAGAAGATGAGCAGCAAGAAGAAGACAAGCAAAGAAAGCAAGCTAAGCAAATACCTGAAAGCACCCATTAGAATCCTGATCAAAGCCAAGGACTTATACATAAGTACTATGGCAGAGTGCTCGGATCGGATCAGCTATGGCTCAGTCATGGGCTTCCCCACCGGCCAAGCCGTTCAGTACCCTACCACTCTGCCAAAAAGCTTCAGCACGGGCTCGACAAGATCTAGCACCAGCAATGAAGATTTCCGGGAACTTGTGAGAGCTGCCTCCACGAAAAGTCAGTATAACACTTCTAGCAAATCATCACACAAACACCAATCTGATGCACAAAGGATTGATCAGGTTGATCTTCTCAAAAGGTCGTCGCGGGCTACCCAGCAAGAGAATAGTTATAACCAGTCTCCAGTGGCGATGAACAACAATATGCAGAGAAGTTACAGTGTTGGTATTGGGAGGATTGATGAAGAGAAGGCTTGTGATTTTGGAGCAGATGATGGCAAGGTTATGGCACAAGTTTTTCCAAGATGCAAGAGTCATGCTGTTGGAAGGAGATCAAATAATGGTTTCTATTGATTATTAATCATCAATAATCCATATTAAGATTCATAAAAATTGTTATTTTTGTTATTTGTTTTGATTTAGATTGATTTCTGATCATGATCTCCTGTTATTTAATTGTTGTATATATATATATATATCTGCTTTTATGTAAGGTGATTTTAAGTTTGAAAATGTATAATGTTGTTAATTAACAGACTTTGTTATATAATAACATCAAAAAATAAAACTTTTTAGGAACATATTCATTTATTTTATGAATTAAACAATACAATATAAATTAATTATGATATAATCTTTTTACAAACTAAATTCAAGTGAAATACATACTTTTTTTTTTGGTACAAGGAGAGTCAAAAATTTTTAAAAAATTAAGAAATCGTCATGCACATTTGAGATCAAGAAACATCCATGAAATCGTCAGTGAAAAGCTGTTGGAGCTCATTCGGCACTTGAACCTAAAAGTGGAGGCCCATCGGTAGAGAGAAGTCAGCATTCGTCAATCAGTCAGCACATTTATTTCATTCGCGATTGACATGTTGGATCTGAACCTGCTAATCCTGCAATATCAAGTACTTGGTCTCAAAAACGAAGGCGGCATGCGCATTAGTGTCGTAATCCTCTTTAGTAAGTAACTAC